CGCTCCGGAGTCTGGGGCGCTGGGGACGGGCTCTGACTTTCTTCTTCCTCGGTCGCCCCTTCTCTCCCTCCCTCCCTGCACGAGGAGGCTTTCCTGGCTTGCGGGGCCGGCCCGGGGTCGCTCCTCCCCTTCCCTCTCCGCGGCTCGTCAGGAGGAGGGAGGTCGACGGGAATCTCTGGTTGGGCCCTAACCTCCACAACCCCTCCTTCCAGCCTCACTCTTTCGTCCCCCCACCGCGGCCCTGACGCAAGGCCGGGGGCGCGCACGTACGTCACGCTCCGAGAGAGCTGACGGTGAGTGGCGGCGCAGGGTGAGGGAGGCGGGAACAAGGTGTCGCGCGCTTCGGCGTGCTCGCTCCCGCCAGGGACCGGAGGTCCGCACCGGATGTGGCGTCAAGTAGAAGCCGCACCGCTTCCGGTGAGGAGTGGAACTGCGTGTGAAGAAGGGTTAGAGAAAAGAGTCGCGCGGTGCCCCCTGCTGTCGCCGAGACTGTCCCCCTGGGGGCACGCCCGCGGTGTCTTTTGCTAGCGCTCAGCGCGGGTTGCCGGCTCTGGCCCTGTAGACACCGCCCTGCTTGCCCCTCGGAGGAGAGGTCACGGCGGGAATGAGAATCCCTGGAGACCCAGGGAGGACGAGTACGTTGATGGCTTTCCGGGCCGGGCAGCCTCCCCGTCGTCCACGCACCACCTAGCTCGGGCTTGGGACAGCTGCTCCGGGAGAGAAGACGCCGCGCGAAGGAGGGCGGAGATGACGTTAGCGTAGCCAGTCTCACAGACACCTAAGTTCCAGGCTTAGCCTAAAAATACCCTTGGTAATCACAGCCTCCGGCATCGATGACACTGAAGTTTGCTTTAGGGAAACAAAATAACAAACTTTAAGTCAGTATGTGGAAGACGTGGAATATCAAAAGAGACTGCTGAAAACCCCGGAATTTGTCCACCGGGAGCCTTGAAGTGAATGAGCCCTTCATCCGCTTTCACCTTAATAGTTAAATCTATAGGGCGGCCAAACATAACCGTTTAACGACCTCACTGCGCATTTCTCGCCTTAGCAGGATTGCCCTTCAGTCATAGGCTGGCCACTGAGGATTATTAGCTTGCAATCTAAATGGCTTTCTGCCTTTCAGTATGGTTAGAAAGGAAAGCGAAACAGTTTGTTCAGTGACTACAGGTGGTGACCTCTTTGCAAGGGTATTTCTTCAGCTCCTCAGTTGGGTCTTAGTTCCTAAATACTTTGCAGTTACGCATCCTTCGCATATAGTATTAGTGTAAACTAATACTAACATCACTGTGTCCCGGATGAACGGATCTAAGCTACGATCACACTTCATGGACCGAATACAAAGGGATGTTTGCTAAAGGAGAAGGCCTGGGTGGGCCACACAGTGCGATGGTAAGAGCATGGGGAAACTGAAAAGTAGGAAGTAGGTTACCTAAAGCAAATTTCTCTTAGTACTGCTCAATGAAGGACCGATAGCCAACCTCCTACTAAGGAATAGTAAGTGGCTCTTTCCAAAAAATAGTATTGGCTGGGGATTTAGCTCAGCGGCGCAGCGCCTGCCTGGCAAGTGCAAGGTCGTGAGTTCAATTCCTGGTACCGGAAAAAAAATAAATAAATAAATAAAAATAAAAAATAGTATCAACCTGCTCCAACATCCAACTTTTTAAAACCTAGAATAACAGAACAAAAGGAGCAAGACAATAGGTTTATCCAGTACTTTCCCAAACCTCTTACCAGGACCCCTTGATAATGTCATCTACTGAATACTTACAAAGAAAACTTGATCTGTAGTAAACGGATAGTTTACAGTACCCTATGCAAGCAGAAAACAAATATTTTTAGTGGGGTTCTGCCACCCATATCTTCCTCAAAGAGTCTTATCTTGGGAAAGGGGTAAATGAAGCATTTTGAGCTCCTCAAAGACTCTTGTCTATATGCTTTGAAATACTCATAATTAGTAGAATTCAAATTCCATTAAACAAAAATAAGCTTTAAATGAGAGGCTATGTGTTTCTGTAAGCCCATCTGCTTTCCTACATAGATATTTGAAATTGCCCACTGGGACTGTATTTGTTTTGCTAGTTGTTTATTGCCTCCTGGTTTAAAAAAGTGAAGCAATAAGGTGGTTTTTTTTTTTTCTTTTTTTATCTGACAGGTTATATCATACCATATCAGCTATTCTTAAAGTGTAATCAGTTGTTCTTAAACTGTAAGATGCTTTTAGTAGATCTGCCTAGTCAAAACTATTTTAATAATAATTAGGCATAATTTATCTTTCATTTTCTTTGTGTCACAAACGTACAAAGGAGTTTTGTAGAAGCAACATGATCTAATATAACATCATCATTCTTTGGCTAATATATGCTTGTAGGTTCAGCTGTTTTCTAGAATATTCTAAGGTGTTAGGTTCCTAAATGTGTAAACATTTGGAATATCTACATAAATCGGTAAATCAATATTTCCCAAGCAAACAGTAGGTGATAGTACAGATCATGAGTAAAAGATTCGTTGAAAGTACTACAAGACAGAGTTAAATGTAACAATACAAAAAGTTCATTTATATTCTTTCAGTTTCCACAGTGCAACTAACCTATAAGAAACTACTATGCAGTTTTGGTAAAGTATCAGAGAATAAGACAGTTACCCACTCCCTCCCCCATCTTCAACAGCATATCTTATTCATATATCTCTATCAAAACAACATACTGCAGCAAACTGGATAAAAAGGCAGGTATGAGGATCCAGTTTCCCTTACATTAAATCAGGCAATAGAGTTTGCAGAAAGTTAAAATGATAAACCTCTAAATTTTTTCCATTTTTAAAAATATACTTTCCTTTTAATGTGATATTTAAGTGGGCATAGTGGTGAGTTTGAGGCAGGCTCTTACTATTCAGTTCAGGGTAGCCTTGAGCTTACTTTGTAGCTCATGCTGGTCTATAGAGAGAGTTTGAGACCAGCTTAAACCACATAGTCAGGACCTATCTCAAAAAAATAAAAAGCAAATAAATATATTATTTGTGCTAATGTAGGATCATTCTTATTTTAAATGAATGATTTTTATTTCTAATATAGTAAATATCAATATATATGACTCATACATAAAAGTTCTTTGCAGTCATCGTAAATATTAACTTTATACCAAACACTATACTAACCAAAAAAAAATCATGGTTCTTCCCTTCATGGTTCTTATGGTACAAAGAATCTGTAGTGGTAAGGGTAAATATGTCATCCACATTCATTCTATAATCTTATAACTAGGAATGCAGTATCTGTCAACATTACTCTTCTGGGCTGGAAGTGGTACACTCCTGTAATCCCAGTGCTCAGAAGGCTGAGACAGGAGGATCATTGTCAGTTCAAGGCCAGCCTCAACTGCATAGTGAAACCCAGTGTCAAAAAGACAAAAAAAAATTATTCATCTATTATGGCTTATATTTACATGTCCCCCAAAACCTCATGTACCCATAGGTGAGGCCTTTGGGAGGTGACTGGATCGTGGGTGTGTGATACAGGATTACTCTTTTGA